ATATACATATCAACAATTTTCTTCAACGAACTTTATCTACGAGACAAAATACAGACCTTTCCTCACGTCCGCACAATCACATACTCCGCACAGAGTTGGGAGCCTGGATTTCACAAATCGGCTTGCCACAAGTTGTGCAACGTTTCCTCTAGCTCATATTGAACATATCCTACTCACTTCCTACTATTCTAAATATCTAACATACCCACTATCAGTAGGCAGACTAAGTATGTTCACAACAACAGCGCAAACAACACATATGTACGATGTTAAATCGTGGTGTCTATTTAAATGTACAATTTGGGTTTTATTCGGAGCGCTGTGAATTTCTTAAAATATATAGAGGGGATATAGGCCCAAAGGGGTATTTATTACATTTTTACCTATTATGCCTTTTGTTTCTGTAAATTTTCAACATGTGTCGTTGTTGATTTGTCTGAATTTAAAATCCCAAAATGTGTACTCTAAATATTTTGCTTAATTCTGATATCAACATTTATGCTGGGTTGGTATGTATACGACAACGACACACGCCCCTGAAAAAATGACGTCGCAACATGTATCATGTATGACACGTCGCCTCGAAATGTGTATGGCTACGAATTACAATACAGCCACCAGCAGGACCCCCCCTGTAAGCTGTGTGTGGGTCTGTTGAATGTGGGCGCAGGCGGTGCCGGGGATTTCGGATCGGGAGAAACACTGAATTTTGAAAACCTGACCGGATTCCAGAATCTAGAATAGGGGTCTTTTCTTGAAGACTTGTTGTGTAAATAGTTGTGCGAGTTGCGACGTGCTAAATATTTACGACTAAATCACTAAATCAACTTATATTGTAAATGTTTTTAATAAAAAAATGTTTTTATAAAAACACATTTAAAAATTATATAAGGCTTCTTTTCACGAGGGGGACTTTTTCCGGCTTCCGCTGTCCGATGACAGACAACTACGGCGGATTCTGAAACCCTTACTCCCTCTTGTTGTTGGATAATGTGGACTCGTGGCTGGCCTGTGGGGCGTGGGCAGTGTGGGGGTTAAAAAAAAATGTTGTATATTAATTTATTTATTTATTTATTTTTCGTGATATTGTCATACATATTGTGTTGACAAGAGGGCGGGCATATAATCATTCACATATATCATGTGAATTTACTGTACAAATAAATATTCACAGATGAGCATTTTCTACTCTAAACTAAAAGGTTTTTAAATTGTATTTTCTATATTTTTTAAAAACAAAAGAAACAAAAGTGCAGTACAAATGTCAACAAGGACGTGAAAGAACATGATGTAAATAAAAAATAAAAGTTTAATAACTATATAGATATATGTACATGTTTTATGAAAATGGATTTACAGTATGTCATTGAAATGCATTTATAAATATGTATCAAAAATATACTGGAGGTCTGGAGCTATCCATTAGCCTTTTTTTATTAAAACAAATTAATCCTAGCCTTTGCCTCTATAAAATTTTAATACATTCAAAATACTGAAAACTTGTTGGGCAACTTCACGTCTCACAATCTCACGTGGACATTGGACAATTCGGTTTGCGTGGAAATTTAACTTGGTTTGTTTTTTATTTACATGGTGATGATGCCGATGGTATCGGGTATCTACGGCATTCACCTAGCAGTCCTTTTTGCTAAAATAAACTTCGAAGCTTGCCAAACATGAACGATATTTTAAATCCGAGAGTATTTTGTTGGTGTTTCACAGAAGTATTTATATTCATTATTTTAACATATTTTTTCAAAACTTGGTTAAACAAAAGAAATTCAGACTTGTGTATCGACAAATTGGGACAAATGTCAAGCCCGTCACGGCCCATAGGCCATAGGGCAGCGAAACTTGTACCTTGACAGAGGTTTGCTCTATTCGCTGTAATTCTATGGCTTATATTTAAAACATGGAGTAGAGCGTCAGGCCCGCAAAACAAACCCCAACTGATTATCAGTCTATTTTAACTTATTATCAGTCTATTTTGTTTTTCAAGCAATTTGGAGAAATAGCAATCCTAGTGTGGATTTTTTTTTCATAAGGGATAATTATTTTAAATATTGAAATTTGCCACGAATCACAACTCGTACGAGACTATCACTAAAAGACAATAAAACAATTTCTATATCTTTTTGTTTTTTATGGTAAAAAACAACAATAAATAATGCATATCCTACAATATTTAGAACATCTGTGGAGTCTGGGCCTCTGAGTCTGAGGGCCGGAGAAAACCGCACAAGCAAAGTAAGGAAAACTTTTAATTTGTATATTTTAATTTTTGTTTTGTTTTGAACCCCCCCCCCCTCCTCACCAGTCCTCCACCCCCACCTCCCTTAAAACGCTTTCCTGTATGTACAATGCAACTTAAAAACAGGTCTTCTCAATACCAGTCGCAGGCATATATACACATGCACAACACAATCTGTCATTTGCCATACATACTGTGCTTTCACATTAACAGAGGAACAACATATCGACCTTTGTTCGATAATAAGTGACATTTTTGCCTTATTTTAGTCCACACATATCTAGTGAAGTCATGAAACTACCTGTTGCGTGGATACACGGTGCATTGGCTTCATTGCTATTTGTAGCATGCTCCGATGCAGCCCTGTGTGGGGAAGTGCAGAACGTTTCCGGCTACACATGCGATGTGTTGTATAGATTCGACATGTCGGCAAGTGCAAATGAGGTAGATTCACCTGCTGAATATAATAGTGTGTGCTGTAAACTTGATGGATGCCAAAAAGCCACAGACGGTGTCATTTTAGAGGTCTTCAGAGAGTGTGCCGCCGGCATAGACCCACGAACTGGGTCGACGTTGACGGTCGATGTCACCGTGTTGAATTCCGGAGGCTCTGTACTATCAAACGCAAATCTACTGCTCACAAATACAAACACAGGTGAAGAGATTGAGTTTGCGTATAATGGTCAGTCAACGTTCTCGTTGGATGAGGGGGGCAGCTACGATATCACTGTACTCGGTCTCGATGGATACTCAATCCAGACTGAGATGGGCACCGAAAAGATGAGTGGTACTGCATTAACAGGCGATACAGTTGTTGACGGTGTGTACTCTCTAGTGAATGTAACTGTAGATACTGAGGTGGAGTTTGTGTATATGGCACCTCAGATGAACAAACAAATAACAATCCGCGCCGAGGATGATGTTGGTAACGTTATATCTGATGCTCAAGTAGAGGTTACAGATATAACTGCTGGTACATCGAAAATTTATACCGTAAGCGACGATGAATGGGATCCGACCACAGGTACTTTCATCTTCGATCTACCATCGAATGAAGATTACCAGTTCGAGATCCTTAACACCCCGAGCAATGTAATAGCCGTCGACGAGATAAATGGGGACAATCTTGCCGATGGCAAGACAGTACTTATGGTTAGCGAAAACACGACTATCACCTTCGTATATGCGGTAGAAACGACGTGCCAGATCGCCTACTTTGACGCAGGCGGGGCTTGTAACGCCGGCTTCTTGGAGCAGGGCTGGAAAGCTTGCTATGGTAGCGACTGCACGCAAACTATCTGCTGCAGTCAGCGAACCTGTCTAACTGAAACCGATCTTACGTCGGGTTCCATCTGTGACGAATATAGACCTAAGATGGACTTTAGTACCATTGCTTGTGGGGAGGGCACTGGTGTTGCCTGCAGCTTTGAGCTGTGTTGCACAACGGACGTTCTACCACCGCTCACACCGCACATTGAGGACCAATGTTCGACCTCGGCTTCCATTATTAATATTGACTTTGAGGATGCCGTTGGCTGGGGATATAACGATGACGACGACCTGGACGCTAAATACAGACCTGAGGGAATCACCTTCTCTCTTACAACCACCGGATCGTTCGCACCTTACAGTCTGCGAAGTGCACCAAGGCTAGAGGCTGAAGGTGGCCCGCAAGCCGCAGCTGGGTTCTGGACGTCCTGTCGCCATTCTTCAGGAAAGACTGTGTATGACTACGATTACAAGAACACATTGGGTGGCTATTTCTTGAAGTTGGTCGGCTTGGACTCGGATGACATACCATACATGCCGGCGTTGCTCGTGACCTACAACACACACGGGTCGACTCAGGCTGCGGGTATGTTGTACGATATCGATGGCAACGCGAATAAAATCGAGGCGTACATGGTGAGTATATACGATGAGAACAGGAACCTTCTGGGCTCAGACTATTCGGTACGCGGAACTACAGCCGAGTGTACCGAAAATCTCTACGAAGGTACCTATTGGCAGTTTGTAGTCAACTCTACCAACGGCGTCCCTATCAAGTATCTGCGTATCGACTACATTGGCAGTGGCAATCCGACGAATATTGGAATGGTATGTACCGAAATTTGTCAATGTCATAGTTTCTGAGTTCTTGTCTCTTGCACTTTGCTCGATTTTTCTTCTTCTTTCTTTCATACATGGCAGTGCTTTGAGCCACTAGACTTTTCGAAACAGTGTCGCTGAAGGTCTCAACTTATTCAGCTGTCGTGCACTTATTTTTTACCTACCTAATCACACGTCTATAACCTCAAGTAGCCCACACTTTTCTAATTGTCGTCCGTTCTTCATTTCAAACAGGGTTTCGATAACTTCAGGGCCTTCGGTTGCACCGAGGATGCAAGAGTGATTAACGCTTTCTCTACAGGCTAAAAACGATAATAACTGATTCCGTTTTTCTTACGTTGTACTAGTAGCGGAGCTAGATGTTGTACCCATATATAACCACTGCACAATGTCTTTCGAGCGTGCCGTGTACCGTACAACGCGAGACAGTAACCTTCACCAGGGCAGCATATTTGCTCGAAAAAAGACATGCGCCTTTTCCAAGCGTGAAACCCGTGTTGTCAACAGCAATTTACCTCGGCGAACTTGGCCGTTTACAGTAACTAAATAAAAAAATTCATTAAATTTTATGTATATGCATGTATTGTATCAAACTATTTTAATGCCTGTCTATATATACACTTAATATGTATACAGATATATGTATATATATATATGCATTTTTCCATATATGTATTCATGTATATATTCACATATATGTATATATATATATATAAGTAAATAAATATATTTGCATCTATATATATATGATATATAATAGATATACATATATATATATATAGATGAATATATTTCCATATAT